TCAAAGGTAATCCGACTGTTGCTACTACTTCTACCTCCACCGAACTTGCACTCCATATACTTAGTCTTGCTTCGGCTCAGTCTGAAACCCTTTGTCTCCAATGTTTATCACCATATTTACATCTTTGCTTTAACACCGGATTGTGTCTGATCAATCAATACAATATGGTTGGAAAACATCATGCACCACGGTATATCTTCTTGAATTGACTTCGTAAGTTCATCCATGACTATAACAAATAAGAAAGGACTCAGAGCAGATCCTTGGTGCACTCCGGTAGTAATAGGGAACTCTGCGGTCCTCCTTACACTAGTGCGGACACTTGTAGTACAAGCATCATACATATCAATGATGATACTGATATACTTACGTGATATGCCTTTTCTAGTTAAGGCCCACCAAAGAACTTCTTGAGGTACCCTATCTAAGTCAATGAACACCAAATGCAGATCCTTTTTAGTGTCTCTATACTTCTCCACAATTTGTCTAAGAAGGTGAATGACCTCAGTTGTTGAGCGTCCAAGCATAAAACCAAATTGATTCTCCGAAATTTTCACACTTTTACAAAGTCTTTGCCCAACCACTTGCTCCCAAAGTTTCATGGTGTGACTCATAAGCTTAATCCCTTGACAGTTAGCACATTCTTATACATCACCCTTATTTTTATATAAGGGAATGAGAGTACGCTTCCGCCAATTGACTGACATTTTGTTGTTTCTCCGAATCATGTTGAAGAAATGTGTTAGCCACTCGATGCCTTTCTCTCCCAAACTTCTCCAAGCCTCGATCGGTATGCCATCTAGACCCACTGCTTTCTTCCGCCCCATTTTTCTCATAGCCTCTTTAACTTCTGTTGTTTGAATCCTTCTCACGACGTCTCGATTTACCATACACTCTGGTATAGTAAGATCGTCAATACCTTGCACTCTATTCACGTTGAACAAGTTATCAAAGTATGACCTCCGCCTCTCTTTTATCTCTACGTCGTCCATTAGTATCCTTTGATCGACGTCCTTCACACACTTAACTTTTCCGATATCTTGAGTCCTACGGTCACGAACGCGAGTAAGTCTGTAGATATCTATTTCTCCTTCCTTAGAGTCCAACTTTACTTACAATTCCTTGTTCACTTTTCCTCTGGCTTCCTTCACAACTTTCTTGGCTCTTCTTCTAGTCTCTTTTTACTCTTCTATGTTCTCGTCGCTCCAACTTTTGCCCAATTTCTTATAGCATTCCATTTTGGTCCTTATTGCTTGTTTCACCCCATCATTCTACCAAGACGTGTCCTTTTTTGGTGGCAGGCATCCTTTAGATTCTCCGAGTATCTCCTTCGCCACTTTGTTAATGGTGGACTGCATTGATAACCACACATCATCCACATGTGTGTCATTATCAATAGACCATACATCTTCCTCCAATATTTTGTGTGCAAAACTTTGTTGGAGATTCCCCTCGAGCCTCCACCATTTTATCTTTGGCTCCCCTTGTACGTTAACTCGTTTTCTCTTTTTACCTCGAAAATCAAGCACAAGCATCCTATGCTGAGTGACAACACTCTCACCTGGGATAACCTTACAATCAGTGTAGCTAGTTTTCCAAGTCGTCCGTACTAAATAGTAGTCAATTTGGGTACTATTAGCTCCACTTCTATATGTGACAAGGTGAGAGTCTCTTTTCTTGAACCAAGTGTTCATCACAGTCAACTCATATGTAGAGGCGCAACGACCTACCTGCAACGATATTCATATTTCGATTCATGTCATGTGATGTGACTAAGTGATATTGTTGGCCGTCACACACCCACCACAACACCCTTCTCCTTTATCCTGACTTGGGACAGGCATGATACCAAAAACTGATCTCATGGCGGAGTTTTTTATTTAACAATACATTAGAAATTTATTTTTTAAAAAAGAATATTCAATTCTTCCCGTGTTAAACTTTCAAAATCTTATTTTAAATTTTTTATTACTACAAGAAAATTAATTATATTAATGGTAAATGTATACGGAGTAATTGAAAGCGTCCCTAAAAAAGAACGCTTCAATAAGGAAACTTTGTTTTATACGGAGTAATTGAAATTCAAGCTTCGAGAACTAAAGTATAGAATAAATGTAAATTGCATGGATTTTTGATTGACTAACGTATAGAACTCACCTAAAGTTAGGATGTTTTTACTTGGACGGTTTTCAGTCAAAGACCAGACTTAAACATGCCAGACAAGACCAGACCAGACCAGACAAGGTCAGACTTAAACAGACCAGATCAGACTTGACTTTCGTAGTTATAAAATACACAAAGACCAGACGTTTACCAGACCAGACTAGACTTAAACAGACCAAATCAGACCAGACCAAACATTAACAGACCAGACCAGACCAGCAAATTACAATCCAATTAAAAACATCCTTAATATATGTTCTTTATCAATTCTTATGAGTACAATATAACTATATTATATTTTCATTTCAGTTAGGCCGTGAGAAGGAGGTTTTCGCTTCCTTTTAATCCTGTTACAACTCTCATTCACCTATAGAAAACTTCGTTGAATAATAAGATATATGATGTTTTAACTTGGACCGTTTTCAGTCCCAAACCAGACCAGACTTAAACACACCAGATTAGACTAGACCAAATTTAAACAAACCAAATCAGACTTGACTTTCGTAGTTATAAAATACACAGAGACCAGACGTTTACCAGACCAGATCAGGCCATTTCAGATCAGACTTAAACAGACAAGACGAGACCAGACTTAAATAGACCAGACCAACAAATTACAGTCCAAGTAAAAACATCCATAAAACACATATCATTCAAGATCAGATATATTCCTATCCTCATTACATACTTGTATGTTTATCCTCTCGAGAACGATTTATATTGCAACCTTCATTGACCATATAAATCTCAAAATGTTATGCACCATAGTTGTATAGATTTTGTTCTAAGCAGCTCGGAGTGGAGGTGAGGTGGGGGCTGATCGGGTCCTCACACACCCAAAATTTGAAAAATGCTTTAATTTTAAGGTAAAAATGTATTTGAAAAATAAACTTTTTATATGACCCACCTCAACTTTCCTCTTGGCTATGATTGTAGTTCTAAGGAGAATAAATCGCGAATTACTTTTCTAGTGTCTGATTGATAGTTCAACGTTAGTTAGTTAATAACAATGTATAGATCACACTCTTATGTTGCATAATATATGCGGATAGTGATGTTTAAGAAGAATAAACCATACTATACAAGATTTCAATATGCATTACTACCTTTTAGAATAAATACAAAAACTTGCGGGAGTAGAGGTTCATTTCGAGCTTTGGCCTAAGGATTTAACCTTTGACACACATATTAATCAAGATTACAAGACTTCAGATGTAAGAGAATATGAAAATACAAAGTAAATATTACCTAAACATCAAAGGATGCAAAAATAAGCTTGTAGACCTCAATAACACCATGTACAAGAAAGAACAAATATAAAACCCAGTAATGAACTGATGGATTAAATAATTCAATTGGGGGCGGATCAGATATTCTTAATAGATTATGAAATAATCTTTAATAGTCTATTCATGATTCTAAATCTGTTTGCGGTGAAATTTGTGAGTTCTACTATATATATAGTAGAATATATAGTAACATTGGAGATTTCCCAACTCTAGCGCTGGTAGATGGTACGCCAGACTGAAGATTGGGTGGGTCCGACGCCTTTCTCTCTTCTAGTGATTCAAGCCCGACATCAACTTAGACCTAGATTCGGCACTCAAGTTGTATTTATGTTAAGTTTTCTTTTTTCCGCATCTTTTTTTATCCCTTTGAATGACCGAAGTAGGGGTGGCGAGTCACGATCCAAAATCAATTAAGTTCATGCGACCTCAATGTAGTGTTGGTCGAGCGCTTGATGAGTGGTTGTGGTTGACTAATTAAGGTGAAGGTCATTCTTGTTGTACATAAAATTTGTGCACAGACTGTGAACACAGGTAAATTGCAAATACTTATCGGTTTCTTTAAATGAACTACTTATGGACAGAAACAACTAAAACGGCGTATAATTTGTGTACTAATTTTGTTAGGAGTGGGATCGGTTCGGTCTGGGTCAAGTTTTTGCTAAACCTAAAAATTACCCGTAGATCTCGGGTTATGAAAATTAGGGACTAGAACAAGGCACATTGTATTTGGTCTGAGTCGGGTTTTTGGAAGTCGAAGTTCGGGTTGGGTTCGAGTAGGGCTGGTTAAAGCCCAATAATATATTTTTGCTTAACCAGCCCATCAAATAAGTGAAAGATTCATTAAACTGTGAAACATTACCCTCCGGCTATGTGTTTCCGATGCCAATAAAAAGTAACCCAACCAATAGTATTTAACATCCAAAAGAGATTATTAAAAGTTGTTGAGTCATTTTTTGTCCAAACATGTTAAAAATAATTTTTTGTAATATGTTAGGAATTATTTCTACACAGTATTGATATATCATATTAATTTTATATTAAAAATAATTGTTTCGGGTTTCGTCAATTCGGGCCAGGATATGGATTTTATGGACTACTAGTGGATCCGATTTTTTGGGTTTTGTCCAGGTATTTTGTTTAGACCGTTAAAAAATAAGGAAACTTGGACCGATTACATTTTCAATTCGTGGTAGGGTTGGTTTTTCGTATCAATTCGGTTCGCCCTAATTTTGTATAGAAATTAATTTTTTTTAGTGGGAACATGCCGCTATTAGGCACTGAAATTTTGTGGTCTGGCCTGGGCTGATCCGGCCTGGTCAAGTAAATGTCTTGTCTCTATATATTTTATAATTGTTCAAGTCTAATCTGATCTGATCTGGTGTAATTTGATCTGGTCTAGTTTGATTAGGTCTGGTAAGACAGAAAACCGTCCATAGTAACCATGTAAAGCCGCAGGACGATTGGGTGGGTTGCACCTCACAATTTGGCTGCGAAAATAAGAAGATGACAATGAGAAAAGTAGGCTAGAAGCGAATCAAGTCCTTGAGAATGAAGCTTGATTGGTCTCTAATCCCTTTCCCACGCAAACCACAAACACGTACGAACGAAAGAACGTGAAATTAATTAATTAAATTAAATAATTTTAACAGCAATCGGCGCGATCATCGTTCCTTGCCCTCCCAGAGGCCGGCATCTTTCCGCCCTTCCATGGAGGAGCGGGTCCCACCTGCCGGAGACGACAGCCGGGAGGTTGGCCCTGCATCGCCGGCGACTCCACCTGCCGAGACCTACGTGGTCCAGATACCCCGCGACCAGGTGTACCGCGTGCCCCCGCCGGAGAACGCGAAAATCGTCGAGAGCTACCGCGGACGGTCGCAGAATAAGGACACCGGCCATCTCCGCAAATGTTTTTCTGGGTTCGTTGCCCCACTCCTCCTCCTCGTCATCTCCGTCGCCGCCTTTGTTGCCACCTTCAACGTTCTCTACGCCGCCAAATCCCCCAAGTTCTCCGTCGCACGCGTCGATTATCAGCCCAAGAATTCCACATTCGCGATCACGCTGCGCGTTGAGAACGGTAACGAGAGAAGTACGGCGTCGCTTGGCAGCGGAGGGAGATGGTCTCTGCTTTTCAAGAACCGCGCAGTTGCGACGGGGAGATTCCCGATTCCAGGTCCATCTGTTTCGCTGGAGCCAGGCGGGAGAAAGGACGTGGATTTGAACGCCCCAGTCGGCGGTAAACTTTCCGGTGGCTTGCAGAGGGAACTAGTCGACGGGAAGGCGCCGAAATCCATGACGTTGAAGGTCAGTGGCGTGGCCGTGGAGATTTGGAGTTGGGCTAAGGGAATGAAGAAGAAAGAGGGAACTATTATCACGTGCGATTTCAAGGTGGATTCTCTGATCAAGAAAACCAACAAGCTTTTATTGTCTCAAGAATGTCGAACCAATTTTTAGATGGAACTTGAAATTAATCTGGCTTTAGTCTTGCGCTCTATTGATCTTGATATGCAGGTGTTTATGTAATGTAAACTAACATCCCATCTAATTTTACTCTTAATTCACTTTCACTCCTTAGATACATAAAACTTTTAGGCATACACTAACATCCGAGCTATTTTCTGTTTAAAATTAAATGCTTATCTGTTCTTTACGCATTTCCATGTTTTAGTAAGTTGTTGAGTAGTGGCAGAAAAACAGGAGAGTTCACTGCTTATATCTGATTAAGTGTATATAGTTTCATGTCTTGTTATAATGTAGAGAGTCCCATTCATTCAATTGTTGTTCCATTTTATATATCGTATGTGCCAGACTTTTCCTCTTTCACTCAAACCGTTTTGTTTAAATGTCTCATTATTCCTTGTGTCTGCACTTTTCAGTTGAAAATTGAACTTGTTTTTGGATCTAATTAATATTTATTTTAGTTGTTTTTTGAGAAGACTCAAGTGAGAAAAATGTAGAAGGAATAAATTCTAAAAATTCTCTAGAAGATGTGATCTCTAGAATTTTCCTATAATTAATTGAGTAGAATTGTGTAGAATGCATTAATTGTAGAAAAATCTGGAAACCTTTGTAATAGTATGAATAGAGGTTTCCTACCCCCACTTTGTATCAAGCAATCCAGCCAATTTGAGTTGTTCTAATAAAAGGAGTTCTTCCCCTTAGTTCAAATATCTCTTCCATTTTTTTAATTTAGCTTCCCAATACCCAAACCTCCCTTCGATTATTTCCAACAGTGGTATCAGAGCTCGTTCGGCCATCACCCAAAAATGGCCGGTTCCTTTCAAAGTTTTAAATCAAGGAACATGTATGGGACATGATAGAGGAAGGCTTTGAGGAACATGATGACGTCAACGCTTTAAATCAAGCTCAAAAGAATGCCTTTAGAAATATTAAAAAGAGAAATCAAAAGGCGCTCTCCATCATCCATCAAGCTTTGGATGAAGCTATGTTCGCAAAGGTGGCATGTGCAACTACAAGCAAAGAAGCTTGGGACATATTGGGGAATTCTTTCAAAGGAGTGGATAAGGTGAAGAAATTAAGACTCCTAACTCTTCGAGGTAACTTTGAATTATTAAGAATGAACTCTTCGAGTGGTTAAAAATATTCTACGGTCTTTAGATCCAAAATAGGATTACATAGTTGTGGCAATAGAGGACTCTAAAGATCTAAAAACTATGACGGTCGATCAACTCTTGGGATCTCTTCAAGCTCATGAAGAAAAATTCAAGAAGAGAATAAATCTAGAGCCATTGGAGCAAGCTCTTCAAACCAAGCTCACCCTAAGGCATAAAGAAACATTTCGAGATAGAAGAATTCAAAATTCAAGAGGGCGTGGTCGAAGTCAAATTTGTAGAAGAGGTGTCTGCAAGACTTTTAACAAAGAAGAAAGAAGTCCAAATTTCTATTCATCAAGAGGCCGAGGAAGAGAGGAGTTTTCAAGACCAAGGTATGATAAACCTCAAGTTCAATGCTATAATTGTCAAAGATTTGGTCACTATACCTTCGATTGTAGATTGGCAAAAAATAGAGTTGAGGAGCGAACAAATTTTGTCAAAGAAGAAGAAGAAAAATCAACACTGTTGATGGACCATAAAGGAAGAGAAGTGACACCAAGCATTCCAGCCCAGCTAGTTGCGAGGTTACCGTGCCTAGTGGGAGGTCTTGAGTTCGAAACCCGCTAGGCACATAAGGGTTTGAAACTCAATGGAGTGAGTTTCAGCCCTGATTACTCCACGCCCCCCCCCCCCCAGCCCCCCTCCCCCAGACCCCCTGGAGTAAAAAAAAACGATTTGGTATTTAGACACGGGAGCTAGCAACCACATATGCAAGAAGAGAGATATATTTGTCGAGCTTGATGAATCGGTAAGTGGAAATATTTATTTTAGGGATGAATAAAAAATTCCAGAAAAAGGAAAGGGGAATGTTTCAATCCGGTTAAAAATGGAAAGAATGATATTATCTCTAATGTCTACTATGTGCCTAACATGAAATCAAACATTTTAAGTTTGGGGCAACTTTTAGAAAAAGGACATGATATTCATATGAAAAATCATACCCTTTTGATGAGAGATAAAAATGGAGTTTTGGTTGCTAAAGTACCAATGTCAAGAAATAGAATGTTTTCATTTAACATTGAAAAGTGGTGAGCTATATGTTTGAAAGTAGGGGAGGGCATTTCGGTTTTCGGTTCTGTTTTCTTCAGTTTCGGTTCGGTTTCGGTTTAATCGGTTTGATAGAAAATGTACCAAATACAAACCGATTAAGTTTCGGTTTCGTTTCAGTTTGGTATGGTTCGGTTCGATTTGGAGTTCGGTTTACCAAAATATTAAGGTTTGGGTTGAAATAAAAAAAATTAACTCAAAATAATGAACCAAGAAGCGATAGTAATGAACCAAATATAATGTTAGATATAAATTTACAAATAGTAACAAAACACATATGAACCAAAAATATATAAGCATGACACATTTGTAAGCAACAACAACAACGTGAATGAATCAAATCATATATAAAGCCGAAACAAAAACAAAACTGGTGCTTGTAAGTAATGAACCAAATATATAGTAGTAGTAGATAATAAATTATAGTTAAATACTATCTACTTAAACCACTATAATTGTTATAGTTGTGAATGTAACTCTTGTAGTAAACGTTAGTCCTGGACACTAAAATTAAAGAATTAAAGCTTCAAAAAGATTAACATCAATCAAATTAATGAGAGAAATATTATATTTTGGTTTGGTTTAGTTTGGTGTAAGTTGGTTTTAATTTGTTATTTTAAAAAAATAAGAAATTGTTTCATTTTTAGATTATTTCGGTTTTATTCGGTTATATGATTTCGGTTTGGTTCGGTTTAATACGGGTTGGGAGGAATACTACCAAACTCAAACCAAATTACAAATGGTTTGGTTTAATTCAGTTTGGTACGGTTCGGTTCGGTCAAACCGAACCGTTATGCCCACCCCTTGTCCCCTATTTGAAAGCATGTTTTAAAAATGCATCCTGGCTTTGACATTTGAGGTTTGAGCATCTTAATTTTGGCAGTTTAAAATTGTTGATTGACAAAAATATGATGAAAGGTTTGCCCAAAATAAATGAAACCAATCGATTATGAGAGGGATGTTTATTTGGAAAGCAAAAAAAAAGCTTTCCAAAACAAGCATCTACTTCAGTAAAATGACCATAACAGTTTGTACACACAGATATATGTGGGCCAATTAAACCAAGCTCTCTCAGAAATAGTAATTATTTTGCTCTTTTCATTGATGATTTTAGTCGGAAAACGTGGGTTTATTTTCTAAAACAAAAATTCGACGTTTTTGGAGCCTTCAAGAAATTTAAAGCTCATGTTGAAAATGAAAGCGAGTTTAAAATAAAGTTCATGAGATCCAATCGTCGGGAAATTCACTTCAAAGGAATTTGAAAATTTTTGTGAAGAAAATGGTTTTCACCGCCCTCAACGGCTCCATATACTCCACAACAAAATGGAATTGTTGAAAGGAAAAAATGGTCTCTTCTTAATATGGTTCGAAGCAAGCTTAAAAGAAAAAATGTTCCAAGAGAATTTTGGGCCGAAGCCGTGGATTGTGCAGTTTATTTTTAAAATTGATCCCCTTCTCGAAGTGTGTGGAACAAAATCCCCCAAAGAAGCATGGAGTGGAAGAAAACCTGAAATTGCTCATTTGAAAGTTTTTGGGAGTATTACTTATGCTCATGTGACGTGCCAAAAAAGGAGCAAATTGGATGACAAAAGTGAGAAGTTTATCTTTATTGGCTACGATGTAAGAGAAAAGGGGTATAAGCCATACAACCCAAACAATGGGAAAATTGTGGTTAGCCGCGATGTTGAGTTTGTTGAAGAGAGCACTTGAGATTGGACTAAAAAAGAAGACCACAATTTCTCGTCCTACTACAATGAAGAAGAAGAGGAGCAAAAGCTATCCCATGAAGAGACCACGAGTCCAACTCCACCATCATCTGAGCAAGAAGGATCCACAAATGAAGACAACTCAAATGAAAGGCCACTCGCTTAAGGAGCATATGAGAAATATATGAGGTAACTAAAAATATTAATGATTTAACATTGTTTTGTCTTCTTGCCGATTGTGAACCAATAGGTTCTGAAGAAGCGGCTAACGAAAAGAATTTGAGGGAAGCCATGGATGAAGAAATGAAGGTCATCATAAACATGATACGTGAGAATCAGCCACCTTACCCAAAGGGCACAAAGCAATTGATGCAAAATGGGTGTTTAAAAAAAAGAAGAATGCCATGGGGGAAGTTGAAAGGTACAAAGCAAGATTGGTTGCGAAAGGGTACAACCAAAGAGCCGACATTGACTATGAAGAGCTATTTGCTCCCATTGCCCGTTTGGAAACTATAAGTTTTTTAATTTCTTTGGCGGATCAAAATAAATGGGAGATTTTTCAAATGAATGTGAAGTCTGCATTTTAAATGGAAAGTTAGAAGAAGAAGTTTATTTAGAGGAACCACCGGGATGTAAAATAAAAGGGCATGAAGACAAAGCTCTAAAATTGAAAAAGGCACTTTATGGTTTGAAGCAAGCCCCAAGAGCTTGGAATATTAGAATTGATAAGTACTCTGAAGTGAATAATTTTATGAAGCGTCCCCATGAACATGCTTTTTATGTCAAAAAGGAGAAAATGGAGTTATATTGATTGTTTGCCTTTATGTTGATGATCTAACACTCATGGGAAACAATACCAATTTATTTGAGAATTTTAAAAAAGGCAATGAATCAAGAATTTGAAATGACCGATATGGGCTTAATGTCTTATTATTTGGGAATTGAGGTAAGACAAAGTGAAAGTGGTATTTTCATCGGTCAAGAAGGGTATGAGAAGAAAATTCTTGAGAAGTTTAAAATGAATGATTGTAATCCCATCAATACACTGGTGGATTGTGGGGTAAAATTATCAAAGTTTGGTGATGAGGAAAAATTGGAACCCACAATGTTCAAGAGTTTAGTTGGGAGCTTACGATACTTGACTTGTACAAGGCCCAACATTTTTGTATGGAGTTGGTCTCATTAGCCGGTATATGGAAGATCCAAAAACCTCTCATTGGAAGGCCGCCAAGAGAATTCTTCGCTACATCAAAGGTACTCTTAACTTTGTTGTCTTACAATTCTTGTAATGATTTCAAGCTTGTTGGGTATAGTGATAGTGATTGGGCCAGAGATGTTGATGATCGTAAGAGTACTACTTGATTTGTCTTTCTTATGGGTAATACGGCTTTTACTTGGAGTCCAAGAA